GCTGGCGCTTGTTGGGAGGTGTGGACAAGAAAAGGCAGCATATTCATCTGATTGTCACACTGAAGACCAGCAGGCTGACTTTCTTATATCTCCAGGTGCCTAAGATCAGAATAAAGCTTCAGAATAGTCCCTGGTGTTCCCTGTAAAGCAGTAAAGTGTGGCTATAGTAGAACTGACAAAGGTGTCTCATGATTTCTTGTGGCCTACAAGAAACTGCCAAGTATTCTTTTCCAGAGCAAGCTTAATAGTTAGTTTGTAATGTATCGAAACAAGCTTCACCTGTACCATCCACTCTTCTTGCTTGGCTGCTTCTTTGTCAATGGACCACATGCGGACCACAGGACCAAAGCATTTAGCAATACATTTTATCTGCACTGCGGCTCATACTTTCAACATCTTTTCAACTTGGCAAAAGAAACCATTATTAACAACAAAGGGAAGCAGCTCCAGAGAACTTTGCCTGCAAATGTGCCATTTTTCTGCATAATTTGCACGTCTGGTTTGAATTGTTATTAGTTATCTCAGTGTGCCTTGTTGTAGCTTGTCCTCTTTAATCTATATTGTCTTTATACTGATGGTTATTGTATATGAAAATAGTTTGCATTATTATTGTATTTTATGTTTTCATCTTTTTTCCCCATCGTTTTTGCAATTAACTTAAAAGTTAGTAAGCCAACTATCTACAATTGTCCCATGTATTTCAAAGCTTTGTTTTGATAGGCATCAGGCCTATCCATTTTCTGTCTTTGTTTTTCCAGGAAGTTCCACTTTGATTGTCAACAATTTTAAATAAAGGATAGGAGTAAAGTCTGTAAAAGGATTTTGTAATTCAGAATACTGTCATACTACTAATAGTAGTTTTAACACTAGAATAAACAGGCAACTCTTAAAATACACATTATTATTGCTGCAGAATAGATTACAAAAGCTGGAAGCAATGTTTCTTTAAGGACAGTAGCTTATCCATAAAAATCGCAGTTCTCATAAGGTAAAACCCTTGTATACTACTTTTCTTAAGCCGATAATTATCAGAGAGGATGGAGATTGACATTGCTAATGTGGATGGGAGGTGGACAAAAAGTTCTGTGTGACATTGCTAATCCCTCCCGCTGGGTTCCTGCAGTGCTCTCCGTGAGTTATTTAATGGTTTTATTTACATCCTCTGTCAGAGGCCAATACCTGCGTGTAGTGAGTGCCATTCATGGCTGGAAAATATGTTGCGTTTTCTTTGTCTTACAAAAGTCACCTACTCCAAGACATGAGAGTCTCATCCTATGAATTTCAGGTACACTATTTTAAGTAGTTCATGCTTTTTTTCTCAAAGAGGGTTAAACCCTCTCTCACCCTGAATACTTTGTAATGTAAGAGGAAACGACACTACTGCAACACTATGAATACTATACTACAAAAAATACTATAAGAAAGTCAGGAATAGGGCAACCCAACAGTTTGGGTTTTGAACCTTAATCGGTTTTACTGTGGTTGAAATACTAATTTCTCTTTAAGCCATGTTCTGCGCCACACTATGCCTACGGCAGTTTGAATGTGACTGCCCCATGCGTGCTGTTTGTGGGCTGTACGAAATGGCTCCCAAACCGTGCTCCAACACTGCTGTGTCACCACCTCGTGGCGAAGTTGCTGGACGGTAGTTAAATACAGCATAGAGAAATATTGTTTTTCCATGTGTGTTTAACTAGACGTTTTTGACCGAAATTATACCTGACTTTTTACAAAACTGAAGCTGCGGAGACTATGTGTCTGAAAATAGGAGAAGGTGGTTAACGCCATTATGTTAGGAGAGCTGCTGCCAAGTAATTGATATATCTGCAGTGCAACAGAAAAGAAGGTATGTAGCATTAACATGCAAAATAAAAATGGTATCATGTATGATGGAGAAGACAACTTACTGCTGGCTTAGATATAAGTATGTAAAAATTCACAAATTTTAATGTGGGTGGCAGTTGGACCAACGTGTACTATTCAACATAAACCCAAAATCCTCTTACCCTGTGTGTGTAGTAGAAGCGAGACTAAGAATTTGTAACTGTAGGAAAAAGTCACTTTAGACCTTGCTGAATTGGATGTCAGACATGTCTGGGGTTTGGCTGAAATGTTAGTTAAAGATTCTGAGAACTTAAGTTTGGTCTTCATTTTGCTGAGACATTGGGTTTGGAATTCAGAGTTTGCTTTCTCCTTTTATCAGAGTTTGTAAAATAGAAGTGGCATATCTTTTGTGTTATACGACTGAAAATCTATAATAGAGCGGTTTTTTAGTTGGAAAATACAGTGAAGTAGACATTTTTGTATATAGTTACCTATCATTTGCTAGTTCCAAACTTTTCTTTTCGTTTGATGTTATAATGTAATGAACAGTGTGAGCTATATTATTTTACTTGCTATCATGATTCACTGATCAAAGCTTCTGCCTAATTTAGGCCACTTGACCCTTTTAATAACTGTCCCTTCGGTGCTACGTTCGTGTACCTTGCATGCTGCTGTGTGAGAGATCACTTCCCTTTCAGTGCAGTATGGGCATATAGCCCCAGCCCTACAAAGAGAAGCAAGTCAGAAGCTCATCTTTTTAGGAAAAATCAATACATTTTTTGTAGTCCAGTGCAGTTAAACATGTAGTTTTCAAGTAAATAATTTCCAGAATTCAGATCCATTTTCCTTCAACTATTACCTTCTTGGGCAGTCTTAAGTAAACCAGTTGCTCTTGCTAGAAAGATCTGCAGTGCAGATCTCAGTGCAAGTTGGGTGGGAACTCATGCCCATATGAAAACATTACTGTACACTTTTGCTTTATAGACTGAAAAAGTAAAAATAACATGAGGGAGCGAATTTTGAGCTTTTTTAAAGCACTTTCAAAGAAACCCCAACAAACTTTGTTTCTGAGTTCCTGCAAGTTTGTGAACTAATTCTAAGGGATCTACAAAATATTTCTGAGGAAAAAGAAGCCTATTTTGTGAGAGTTAAATTTGCTATACAGGGATCCATATCTGTTTTGAAAAAATGTTAGCTGTTAAGCAAATTAAAAAGCGGTACTCTTAATTTTAAATAAAAAGTATGCACTATCATGTCTGTCAGTTACAGGAACAAAACTCCACAGTAACACCTGACCCAGGAGTCTTGGTAGTCTGTGGACATCAGGGCTGTTGTACGTGTGCATTGATATTGCCAGTGCCTCATTAAAACACAAATACGTGTTCAAAAACTTCAAAATCTTCATGGCTTTCCTTATATCAGGAAATGAGAGAGATTATCAAGTTCATATCCTAAAATATAATGGTGCCTCATTAATAAGAATGGACATTAAATCATAGCAAATAAAATACAATACAGCAAAGGTAGGCTATGCATGTGTCCTCAGTAGAGAAGGTAGACAAAAGCAACCTGATGACCAGCTTTCGACTGAGAAAAGTCCAAATGCTCGTGATAGCTTTTAATTTTTACAGTATGTGCCAATAAAAATGACTAAGCAATCTGTTGTTGAACAGATATTAATGTGAAAGTTTTTAATCAGTACAGGTGTTTTTATAAGTAATGATAGATAATTTTTTTTAGTCTTACTTTCACTGCAAAAAAATTAAAATTTTATATCTTGTTATTCCTAATATTAAAACAAATGTTTAAATGTTACTTTTGAACACCAAGTTCATATGGGGTAAAGTTTGAACAGCAAAAATCTCATCAGTTGCTTACTGATGCTTGCTAAAATTTAAGTTGTCCCAGGGAGTTATCAGAGGGCATTTACATTCTGAATAACAAGAATTGTTAACAGGGTCTTGTGGTGTTTTAGTAGCTGAATAGATGAGTAATTATTTGGAAATAGGAGTTGGCAGTTTGATCTGACAGTCTATGTGTATGTGCTTATTGCTGCACGCTGACCCTTGTACATTCATTTTTTCCACAGTGTAGTTTTTTATTTATCCTGTGATTTGATCCACCGAATATAATGACAAAATATTTACTATTAATGCAGTGATGCATTGGACATTTAATGGGCTATGTATCCGAGTAAAACAACTGTGGGATTGCTTATGGCTTACTTACATTCACTGTGATCAAAGCTGTGTGTGCTGAGCAGTGAACTATGTGAAAGATAACTTTCTGAAGGTGCAGAACCTTCTTCAGATTCTCAGAATTTGCATGCTGGTACATCCATACTTTGTACCAGTTTGACCTGACATTGACTGGCCTGTGTATGCTTTTCCTTTCATTTGTTGTTTGATAAAACATGTGTTGTAGACGTTTTATCTACTCCAAAAAGGTACACAATGTGATCATTTAAACTGGATGTTGTCTAAACTGATCAGCCCCAAATTAGATACATATGCTTTCTCATGTTTTTCAGCAAATTCTTCAGTATGGGTTTTTTAATTTTACTGAAAGGACTGAACAGTCATAAGCTGAGCTTTAGAAACAGTCCTTTCAATATAACAGAAAAATAAGAATTCAGTAAGGAAAGGGATGTAAACATCAAGACTTCAAAAGCAGTTTGTTTCTTTCTAAATGTGGTAACAGTCTTTTATGGGTCATGATAGATTGCAGAATAAGACAATAGAGAAGAAAAACCACAAGGACTAAATGCATGAAATTAAATGTATTAATATGTATGGCCATCCTGTGGCAATGAAAAGTACTGTGTTGTATTTTTTTTTTAAGAGAAAATAATACTAAGAAACAAGTTTGGGGTTTAGTTGCTTAATTTAGGTGACAACTGTGCCTTGAACTCAGTGTTTTCATATGGCCAGAATGAATAAGCAGTAATTTCTTCTATATTTGCTTGTATGGACTGAGAATTGCTACTACTGAGCAGAATTTTTTTTGATTAAAAAAGATCAGATTAGCCCATTATAAAACATGTGGAAACAAGCACAGGTTTCTGTAGCGTAGCAGCAGCTATTGGATCGCTGGAGGCTATAGCTTTACAACATGATGTTTTCAACCAATTTCAATTTTCATATGAACTATAACCAAAGTTTGTTTGTTTTACTCAGCTGGAAAGTCGTCAGTTCCAGGCAAGACTACAGACCCAGAATAAATCAGTGCATTTCAGAAACACTGATGAATTTATTTGTATTTCTTCAAGAAATGTCCCACTTCAAGGAACAAAACCCTGGCAAGGTAGGCACTCCCAAGTAAGATCAACGGTTTGATATTGTTTAATAAAAACGTGAGATAGATTTTAAACAAAAACAATCGAGTAAGCAAAAAAATTGAACATAAAATACACATTATCATACATTCAGTCATGAGTTTCTGCTGGCTTTTTCCTGTGGAGAACAGAGGTGGGTTGTCAGTGAGCAAAGCTGCTCACAGTGAGGTTTATAGCAATACAGTCCCTCCCCTTACAGCTGCTGGAACCTCACCAGTCATTCCATGGAAAGGAAAAGTAAAACATCACAATTCAAAAAAAAAACCAAACTTGAAAAGGTAGACAAGGTATACAGTTCCTAAACATACACATAGGGTTTTTTTCCAAATAACTAATTTTCAGAATTAGCTGCACAAGTATTAAGTGATAGAAGATAATTTCTTGTATTTTATTGTGATTATTTTTCTTCAGTTGATGGTTTGGGTGTTTTTTACTGAAAGGACTGACCTAGAGAACCCAGTTCATGAAGAGACAAGCAAAAGTACGGTTTCTTCCTTCCAAATAGGGAGAATATCATTATATAGTTCTAGATAAAAGTGAAGCAGCTTTCTTTTCCAAAGAAAAATACAAATAATGTAGAAGTGTATCAGGCAATAGTAGATTTCATTTAAAAAAAAAAAAAAATATTGCTAAATACAGTTTAAAAGAGATTCAGAGGCTTTTTCTTCTCTTTTGATCTCAGTCAACTTTGCCACACAATCTTTCCTGAAAACAGGCTCTTCAGAATTAGCAGATAGGAAGTATGTAGTACCACACTCAAATATTAAGAGTTTAGACTGGAAATACAGATGAGGATGAAATACATTTCAAATATTAATAAAATATACAAAAAGAAGCTCTATATGTTTAGGGTAATAAAGTTATGTTTAAAAGAAGTAGGGATATATTGAAGTAAGGAAATATGGTATCAATATACACAATCCCGTAATTTTGTCATGTGGTAACATGACACAGTAACTGTATGTTGAGATATATTTAATACTGATTTAGAAAGACTAATTTTGACAGCATGTTTTCCTTTCTTTTTCCTGACCTCATTCTCTAAGCCATGTCATTTTTTACTGCTGTAATTACAAGCAAATTAGGCCCTGATGCTGTGTGCAAAATTTCTTTGAATTAACCATTTTATTGCAATTCAACTCCAAAAGCAAATGGATTCTTTCAGTAAACTTTCAACAGATTGATTCTGTACTCAGCATTGTGAAGTTGTGAAAAATGCACGGTATGTCTCGGTCAGAGCAGAGGCCAAATCTCAAGTTTTACATTGAAAATTCAGCTCAGTCTTGTCATTAACGGGGATGCTGGAGTAACCGACAAGCATCAAGAGAATGCTTGCCAGCATATTAGAGAAAACATTCAGGAAGTAACACAACAGGGGGGAGAACTGTGCTTATAGGAAGGATTTTTTGCATTTTTAAGCATGCAGCAAGTGTGTGTTGTAATATTTGGTTTTTTTCCTGCATATCAACTGTTTCACCTTTTTTTTTATCTAATAAAGGTGAAGTAATTTCTAGTAATTCTAGCAATAACTATGAGCTTGTTAAACCTTTACACTAAATGAATTAAAATAGGATTTTTTTTTAATAATGAAAGAGGGGGTGCATCCTAATTAGCCAAAATGGACTGTTTGGTGCTTATTTGCACCAGAAGTGTTAAAGTATTTCATGATTTTTTAAAAAATTCTTCAATTTTCCACTGCATTCTAGATTTCATTTAGCATGCAACACTTTTGGTTTGCAAAATGATCTAAATATTTAGTATTAATGTATTAAAGTATTAATGGCCAATTTTAATGTTTTTGCCAGTTTTGCCTACTAGTCTGCAGCGTATGTACGTTTTTCACTGTCTTGGGAAGTTACATTCCTGGAGTTGTCCTCTCGTATGTTCTGTGTAAGTATGGTCTTGTTTTCAGTCATGATTTATGTATGTGGTTTGGTCATTATTTAGTCTCTCTGTAGAAAGTATTTACTTTTTTACTCACGCGTGCAAGTTGGCAGAGGACACCAAGCTGAGTGGTGCGGCTGACACACCTGAGGGGTGGGATGCCATCCAGAGGAACCTGGACAAGCTTGAGAAGTGGGCTTATGTGAACCTCGTGAGGTTCAACAAGGCCAAGTGCAAGGACCTGCACCTGGGTTGGGGCAACCCCCACTATCAACACAGGCTGGGCGATGAAGGGACTGAGAGTAGCCCTGCCGAGAAGGACTTGGGGGTGCTGATGCGTGAAAAGCTGGACATGGGCCAGCAATGCATGCTCGCAGCCCAGAAAGCCATTCATGTCCTGGGCTGCATCAAAAGCAGTGTGGCCAGCAGGGGAGGGAGGTGATTCTGCCCCGCTACTGTGCTCTGGTGAGACCCCACCTGCAGTGCTGCGTCCAGCTCTGGGGCCCACAGCACAGGAAAGACGTGAGCCTGCTCGAGCGGGTGCAGAGAAAGCCCATGAAGAAGCTCAGGGGGCTGGAGCACCTCCCCTGTGAGGGCAGGCTGAGAGAGTTGGGGTTGTTCAGCGTGAAGAAGAGAAGGCTCCACGGAGATGTTATTGCAGCCTTCTAGTACTTAAAGGGGGCCTACAGGAAAGGTGGGGAGGGACTTCTTAGCAGGGCCTGTTGCAATAGCACAAGGCATAATGGTTTTAAACTGAAAGAGGCCAGATTCAGACTAGATATAAGGAACAAATTGTTTTATTATGAGGGTGGTGAAAGACTGGCACAGGCTGCCCAGAGAGGTGGGAGAAGCCTCATCCCTGGCAAAATTCAGGGTCAGGACGGGGCTCTGAGCAGCCTGATCCAGCTAAAGATGTCCCTGCTCACTGCAGGGGGATTGGACTAGATGACCTTTAATGGTCCCTTCCAACCCAAACTATGCTATGGTTCTATGATCTATATACACTTACATATGTAGGTTCTGATGAAGTGCTTTTTGTCATATCAAAGTCAGCTTACAAGTTTTTTCAGCGTGTTGATTCAGGCACAATGTTGCATAGTTATGGTTCTCAGGTAGAGATCTCAAAATCAGACTGAGTCAAGGTCATGATAAATGTTACAGTGGTCATAAATGGTGCCTTACTGGAAGAAAAAAAGGTATCAATTGATAGGAGTACAATGGTAGGAATGGCTCCTGGAAACTGGATTTGATATTAACGGGTTGTCTGACGTGAGCATTTCACAGTGGTTTTATGTAAAATTAATTGTATTGTGTAAAATTAGTAGTTATTTTATGCGACTGCATTGTTTAAGCTTTACTGAGTAAATCTTCTTATAAAGCAATATTTCAATATAATTTTTCTCTCTGTCTTCATTTTTATCACAGTATTGTGTGCCTTTTTATGTCCCTTCCTTAAGTGCAATGAATTTGGACAGAAAGTGTGCCACAAAATTAAGACTGTTCTGATGAAACTAGATTTTGGAATAGTGGAATATATCAACCAGAAGAAAAAAGAGAGATCTGGTGAGTAATTAAGTATAGTCCCAAGTAATGTATTTCTGTATGCAGAGAAAAATTTATTCACCTTGCAGACAGTTTGGTTTGTCCTGTGAAGCCAATTGTAAAGGTATTTCTTGCTTTGAACCTGACTACTGTTCTTAGTTTATAAGGAGTGCTAATGTATCAGATGTCTGGGTATGGTTAAAAAAATTATGTCATGGAAGGAAAAAAGACTGATGGTTCTATATATAGTTGATTAGATGTACTACTTGTAGGTTTTCAGAAAAAAAAACTACTCGCCCTAAGTATGCAATGCTTATCTCTGTTTAAATAAGGTAAACTTATCCAGGAGAGACTCACTCAAGAACAAAAAATAAGTACATAACAGAATTTTCAGTAAGAGACGGAGCTCTGTTCCAGTATCTAAATCTGCCTTGTTTTCACATCCAACAGCAACAAGAATTTTTCTTCCCCAAAAATTCAATAAGCATTAAGAATTGCAGTAGGATAGTAGTTACAAATTAATTGAAGTTTTTGGTTAGAAAGTGTAGAAAACAGTTTAAAACAAAATCTCACCTATCTCACCTGAAATCTTTATAGCATTGGAAACATAAAGCTATTTCAGGAAAAGTATTTCTGTGAACGAGGTTATCTTTAGTTTGCTTTTTGTGTGTGCTACAGTTTTGGTAATTAAACCTTTGTAGTGTAGTCACATTACTTGCAGGTAGCCTACCCTTTTTAGTTAGTGTTACATCAGTACATTTCATAGCTGCTTTAAAACATGCATTTCTTGTAACTATTCATCATACAATGTGCTGTTCCTAGACACAATGAGAGGAACCATCTGCCATTTCCCCTTCTCTTACATATAATGCAGTAGTTGTTGGCAATAAGGAATAATGTTTTGAAAATTTTCTTTCATGTGTTAACTCTACGTTATTCTGCTTTTAAGTGAAATCAGACTATTGTTTCATAAATTTCGTAAGCCAGTGCTGGGGAAATGGTCGAGGTTAGATTTGTTCTTTCCTGCCTCTCACCCTCCAGTTTAATTTACTCCAGACAAGTTCTCTACCTTGCTTTGCTAGTTGGGTTCACCACATGGGTTCACAAGCCCTTGTACTGGCACAAGGGAGGAAATAGCAAGTTGCAAAAGTAGGCAACCAAGAATAATATAACTGTGTGTTTCAGGCTTATATTGGTTTAAAATATTCATGAGGCTTTTCTCAGACGGAGAAAAGAGGCAAAACTTGTGTCTCTCTTGATCTATGAGGGGAAACATTCTACCAGACTTCAGAGGATGCTTTATGTGTGTATTTGCATATAAATGTGAATGGAGGGTAGCTGGGTTCAAAGAAGGGGTTTGTGAATGAAGATTACCTGCAATTATGCAGAAAATTGCATGTTCTCATGTAAAAGCAATGTGCTGGGATAACTATGCTGCCTGTTCTAACAATATGGTACAACTGTGCATTGTTCCAGCAGTGTAGTTTAAAAGATAGGTGTATGTTACCAGGGCAGATAACATTATGGTGAGCAACAGAGACTTCTGAAGGAAGTACGGTACAGGTAAATAAACCTGTTGGAATATATTTTAGAGCAACATTATCTCCCCTGCTTTGGCTGCTGCACAAAATATTTTGATAAATACCTAGGCTCTCAATCAGCCTTGCTTCCCTCACCTTAGTAGCATGTTACGTAAATGCACTGTGTCAACAGGTGAAAGTCTACTGTGCTCGGCAAGAGAACACCCCCTGAACCTGGAAGTCCATTGTCATGAGTAGGATAAAAATTTTTTTTTTTTCTTTCAGAAACAGCAAAAACAAAACCCACAGAAGATGACAGTGAATTAGACATATCAGCTCTGTGTCCTAAGGTGACTTTTTTCCAGTCAGCCCTATCTTGCTTTTAAAATCTATGTAGATAATGGAGAGTATCTAGTCTACTGTCTCTGTTCTTCTGTGGAAGACTTTAACCTGCCCAGGAGGCTGTGTTCCTGAACTAAGCACTATGCTTTCAGAGTGATTCGTAGTCTCCACCTTTAGACTTATACTAATTAACTTACTGCATTTGTGACTTCTGGCCTTCAAGGTAATGGTTTCTTTGGCCTGCTAAACTAAGAATGTGTTCATTTTGTGTTGGCTCTAGAATGATTAAATTAGAATTTCATAGCAAAGGCAACTATTTTTATTTGCAACAGTAAAATTGCAGTTAATTTTTACCAAATTAAAGTATAAAAGGGAAGTGTTCATAGTAAAGCTACATAATTTGTCAGGTACTTTCGTGGTCACTTGTCTGATCATTTTCAATGATAATGTGAATCAGTATTTTATCTATAAATACCTTTCTAGATATGTATTAGAACACTAATACTTCCTTTCTCTCTTGATACTCTAAATAACTGCATGGCAAAGGATTTTCCATTATAATCAGAACAGTGGTTGATAGAAAACAGTTCAGATTTATAGGAATTCTTATGCAGTATTTGATCAATAGTGTATAGACCCTGACTTTGACAGTGATCACTTTGAAGGTGTTTTTGTATTCTGAAAAAAAATAAATATATATCCCATGGGATAAAAAATTGCAGCTGACATAACTGAATAATGTTGGTTAAAGATATAAAAGATAATGACTTTAAATTTATCTAATTTTTTACTGTCTTACAGATAATGGGCTGGTTTTTTAATCCAAGTTTATGTATTTCTTTACATTTATGTGTATTTTGTATTTGCAGGCTTATTCTGCTTTCATTACAGTAGCATATTACTCTCAGAATTTTCTATGTTTCTTTAGTATAATACAGCTTTCAGTCACTACAAAGAGGGGTTGCTTCACTTCTAAGTATTGTATACTATTATTTTCATGTTTCCACAATTAAAGCTTAAATAGGAGGCGATTTAGATTGCTATGACATGCAAGAAGCTTCTTTTTCAGTATCTAGGCATTGGCTTCCTGTAGCATGATTTTTCTGAGTATAAGAATACCATGTATGGGACTTTTTTATGTGTAGGTTAGTCCTGCAGTTGTTGCCAAAGAGCTGTCGGTGTCTGACACAGATGTATCAGAAGTATCTTGGACCGATAATGGGACCTTTAACTTATCCGAGGGGTATTCTCCACAGACAGACACATCTGATGGTATGTAATGGCTTCATCTGTTTCATCAATGAAATGCAGTCATGTAAGTTACTTGAAAATGATTAGAGAATTTGAGGACAGAAGCTTTTTGGGTTGTTCACC